ATGATGATGATGATGATGATGATGATGATGATGATGATGATGATGATGATGATGATGATGATACGATTGGAGCCCCTACCCTCCCCACCCCCCTTTGGAGCCGTCTGTGTTTTACATTTTGGCGTTATATTTACTCAATAATAGCAATATACAAAACAAGTTCCAATGTTGTAGATAAGTGTACCTTAAACTTGTTTCGGAACAGTAGGTATCCAAAAGAGCAGATTGTGATAGTAACGACATACCTATCATGTGTAAGATCAGATACTGATATTTTCTTGAACTTAAAGTCCAAGCAACATGGCAGATTTCAAACAGGTCTATAAAAGATAAACCAAGATGGATAAAATTGTCTATACTGTTCTATATAACAAATTCCAAGCTCTAGAACACATTACTAAATCTGTTATGTTACTATGTGGGAAATGGGATTTTACAAAAATAACGTTTCAATAAAGGAAGCTACAGACGACCCCCAAAATCTCAAAGAGAAAATAAAAACTGGATGACCCCAGGAAATATTATTGAAACAAACAGAAGAGGGAAAGCTGTCAAAATAAAATTTAGAAACGTACAATTCATCTAAGAAGCAAATTATGACGAAGCAAAAGAAACATGAATAAATGATAAGTGTCAAGAAGCAGAAAAGAATAAAAACAAAAATAGCAAGACTAAATCAAAAATCAAATAAGTAAGTAGTAGGAAAGGATGCTTAGGCAAGGCTTGCATAAGATCAAAAAATGAGATATTTTAATGGACAAGAGGAATGTTTTATATAGTTGGTCAGAATACATAGACCAACTTTTTTAAAGGACCACCGACTGCAGATTTAGGTAAAGACTTTCAACTGCTTATGGGAAATTGAGTGACATACCGTGGTGAAAAGGGCGGTCTTTAAATGAAAGGGAAACAGAATGTATGGTAACATCTTTTAAAACTAAGAAAGTAGTAAACCCACATTGCAATTTCATTAGCAAAAGTGAAAGGATCAAGCGTAATCAACTGTTCGTATCTTCATGATATAATATCGTATTACATTTGATGACAAATGTACAGCAGAAATAAAACTAAGAATTGAAATGGCTAAAGGCAGGGTCAATAAAATAAGATTTTTTTTTCTAAGGCCATATGTGGTCAGTCCTTCTGTTTAGATGTGAATGCTGAACCATTCTCAAAAACGGTGAAAATGAACTTTAAGCAACAGAAATGTAGTTTCTTTGGAGAGTGTTGAGAATGTCATAGAAAAAAAATCAATTGAGGCAATGCTGAAAGACGCTCGCGTGGGCCTCTAACTAATGCAAAAATGAGGAAGAGACAGGTAGAGTTTCTGGGACACTAGAATAGACATAGAGCCCTTGGACATTTTTTACTCTCACTGGGAAAAACATTGAAGGCAAAAGAGGCAAGGGTAGACCAAGGGCAATTTACTTAGAGAACGTGGACAGGTAGGTGAAGGAGAAAGAACAGCAAAATATAGGACTGTTTTGTTTTCTGAGTTTAGGAGCAGAGAAATATATGGCTAGTCATGATCTCCGATATCTGTTTCAGATCTGGCTCCAAAAGATGATGATGGGGTATCCGAAACATATTCCACTTCAAGGAAAACATTTGGTGATGGCTGTCATTTACACTTAAATGTTTCACTCTCTCTGGGGACCTACTTCCTCCTAGATGAAGAGAGAGGAAGTTGTGTCATGTGTCTTTCCCAATAACAAAACGTCTTTGCTAAGACGTTAAATGTTTACAGAACGAGAAACAAGCAAAACCAAAGAAATATGTTGACGTATAATCAGTTAACGTCAAATTGGGGTCTGTAAGCTGGAATTAATCGAAATTTTTTCGATTCTCATCAGTCGCTTGCCCAGCCGGTTCAAGATACGACCCAGAAGATGACCGTTGCATCACATGTCAAATCGGTGAATATCAACCTCAAGCTGCTCAGATGAACTGTCTAGAGTGCCCGGCCAATACAACGACTGTAAACCATGGAGCGGTCAACAGCTCGCAATGTGCAGGTTTGTTGCTGCTGGTGGTAGACGTTTGGAATCTCTATTTCACTCTACATTAGTCTTTTTGTAATT